TGCTGCAGATTTGGGTTATACAAATGGGGTAAAAATGTGGTTTAGAAGATTCTCAATTAGGGAGTTGTGTGGGCCAGTCAACTTGCAAGAGATATTGTGTGATAAAGATGTTCAAGACATGTTGGTGTGTAATAAAATGGACCCACACACTGACTTGTACTTTGTTGCAAACACAAGTAAAAAACGGGTGGTTGGTACTTTAGCAAAAGAAACAACCCAATCTTCACAGGAAGGCCACAGTTCAGTCCCAACTCAATTACAAAATAAAGACCAAGCTCAAGCACACCAAACTGTGGGTGAATCCACCACATTTGTTGAAACTGAATTACAGAGTGATGAGGATGATGAAGACTATGTGAATCAAAGTGGATCTGAAAGTGCTTCACATGACCACTCCAATTCCAATCTCAGTGAAGCTAGCTGGCTATATGATGACCTAGAAGGGAGTGAAGATGATGTATTTAATGATGGAACTGCAAGTTTAAGACAACAACCACCCCCAGGTCCAGACCAACCTTCACAAGCAAACCTATTTTTTCCAGAAGATCTGAATGAAGAGCAGCTTGAGGAGTTCAATGAAAGTCCATGAAGAAACAGGAGCTACAAATCCAGAATTGTCCAGAGGTTTGAAATTTACCTCACATACCTCTTTTAGAAATGCTCTTAAGGAATGGGCAGTCAAGGGTGGATTTGAATTCAAATTTGTGAAGAACAATAGATCTAAAATCACTGTGGTTTGCAAAAACAAGGACATATGTTCTTTCAGAGTTCATGCATCAAAAGTTCCAGAATGTGGGCCCTTCCAAATAAAAACATTCAGGACCAAACATGAATGCCCTTTTAGTAACAGAAACAGCTTGGTGACTAGTACCTATTTGGCAAAAAAGTACATGGATGAGTTGAGGGAAAATCGTGAGTGGAATGTCACTGCTATGCAAAAGTCAGTTCAAAGACAGTTAAGGGCAGAGGTGAGTCTTGCAAAGTGTTACAGAGCTAGAAGAAACGCAAAGGCAAAGATCCAAGGAGACATCAAAGAACAATATAGGAGGTTGAGGGATTATGCAAAAATTGTTGTTAAATACAACCCTGGGAGTCTTGTAAAAATCAAATCGAATATAGGGATGTCAATGAAGAAGGTGGTGCTGCAGAGGGTGGTCCAAGAATACCCAAGGAAATTCTAATGCTACAATACATGTACATGAGGTTTAGTGCTCAGAAGCAGGGTTACTTTGCAGGTCTTAGACCCTTAATTGGGTTAGATGGTTGCCACTTAAAAACACCAATGGGAGGCCAACTGCTTTGTGCTGTAGCAAGGGATGGAAATGAAAACAGGTTTCCTCTTGCTATAGCTTATGTGGATAGTGAAGACAAAGCTTCATGGACTTGGTTCTTGCAAGTGTTGTTTGAAGATTTTACAAGACCATAAGAAACTAACTGGGTTTTCATGTCAGACAAGCAGAAGGTGTGTAAAAAATGTGTACTTATATCATGCTTAAACAAGTCCTTTTGTTGTTTCTAATTACTGTTTGTAATTGCTACCTTTTTTCAGGGCTTAGTTGAAGCATTTAAAGTTGTCTCACATGCAAATGAGCACATATATTGTGTGGAGCACATGTATGAGAATTACAAGAAGATATTTAGAGGGCCTAAATACAAAAAAAAACTATGGTTTGCAGCTAGCACTGGAAGTCTGAGGTCATGGCAGAGGTAAATGGAAGGGATCAAGAGCTTTGATGAGGCTGCTTACAACTAGATTATGCAATATGAGCCAAGTACTTGGAGCAGATCCCATTTCTCAATCCTAGCACATTCTGATGCTCTTCAGAACAACATTTGTGAGTCATTCAATGCCTACATACTCAGAGAAAGAGATATGCATATTTTGAGCATGTTTGAGTGGATTAGAAGAAGATTAATGGCTAGGTTTCATGTTAAGTACACTTCCATGATGAAATATAAGGGTGAAATATGTCCTAATAAGCAGGATCTACTTGAAAAGTTGAAATTTGAAAGTAGGAATTGCTTTTCCACTCCTGCTCGGGACAAGTTGTTTGAGGTAGATTTTTATGATACTAGCCATGTGGTTAATCTAAAAGACAGGACTTGTACATGTCGAAGGTGGGATTTAAATGGCATCCCTTGTAAGCATGGAGTGTCTGCTATATATGCAAACCGAGAAAAACCTAAAGACTATGTAAGTCATTTTAAGCTAAATCCACCTACTTGGCTGTGTATAAACACATTATCCATCCTCTGCCAAGTAAAGATGAGTGGGAGAGGACAGAGACTCCAGATATTATGCCCCCAATCCCTAGAAAACCTGCAGGAAGACAAAAAAAAAGAGGATTAAATAATCTGATGAAACAAGGAATCCTTTCACGGTGTCTAGGGCAGGTAAGCAGGTGGTTTGTGGCAACTGTAAGCAAGTGGGACACAATGTCAGAGGGTGTAAGACATCCATAACTGGAGAAACACCCTGGCAAAGGAGAAAGAGATTGGGAAAGAAAAAAATGTCCAAACGGAAGCAGAGGGTGTTGATGATATTTCTGACCCAACCTCCCATGAGCCACTTCAGACAACCAATAATGACAGTAAATTGACAACTCCCATGACCCATGATCCGGTTTTCCAAAGCACTGGAGGAAAAACAAAGAAGAAAAGGAGAATCAACAATCCACAACCACCCCAACCATCTTCCAAAAGAGTGACTAGGTCCTCAAGTACACAACCCTCAATGGTAATTGTATGGTCTGCATTGTTACTCTTGTAGTGTGTTGTTTTTACACTTATTATGATGTTATTACTTCTTTCAGGGCACACAAAGTTGAGGATTAACTGAGAAGAGACCTGGAATGTTGCAGTTTTGGTGTGAGGAGAAGAAGAATGGTGCTTTAGTAGACATGTTTAGAAATCAATTTAGGAACTTTTAAATCATGCCTTGGTCAGCATGTGTTTTGTAATGATACTTATGTAAGGAACATAATTTGTGGTTAGCATATGTTCTGTTGGATGTGAATCTTGAAAAGAACCAGATGTTCTGAATCTTTTATGTAAGCAGTGTGAATATGGTTTAGGGAACCATATGTTCTGGTAATGTTAACTTCTTGAATGTTAATCTTTTGGATGAATTAGGTTATGTATCAATATGGATGTGTGAAAATTGGATGTAATGGATGTGTGAAAATTGTATAAATTTGGTTTTATGTATAAATATAGATGTCATGTTAATCAGTAATGTTGCATATCAAACCATATTGGGTGAGTAAAGAACCTTGGAGTGGTTGCAGTGTGAATATGGTTCAGGGAACCATATTATCTTCTGTTTAAGTGAAGTTGTTGTAGGTCAAAGTTTTGGTATATGTTCAGTTTGGTATTTCTTGGATGAATTTCGTTTGAAGTAGATGGTATCTGTTGGATGGAAACTATCCATATATTATGTTTTAGGTAAAGCCTGAATCAATCTTTTGGGTTAAGAACTTCATACCCAAAAGAAGTTGTTCTGTAACACTACTATAACATTAAACAAGTTCACAGCACTCCCGGTATATCTACTATAACATTAACTAAAAGAAGATGTGGATAAGTAAACTACTATAGCATTAAACAAGTTCCCACAAATTGTTACAGCAAAAAACTTCATACAATCTGACATCAACCCTTACAAGGTTCTTAGATTGGTGCATTACATTGGACATCACTCACAACAAAACACCTCAAATGAAATTAAGGAGGAGTAGAGACTCTGACCGCGTGCCTGTTGAAGAATGAGCCGGCGACTCATAGGCAGTGGCTTGGTTAAGGGACCCCACCAGAGCCAAAGCGAAAGCGAGTCTTCATAGGGCAATTGTCACTGCTTATGGACCCAAACACAATTACATCTGGTTTGGTCATTTCATCGAACACTTAGCAAAGAACTTAGACCTAAAATCTTCTACTTGCAAAGAAGATGAAAATTAACATGGCCAGACAGAGTATCTTCCACTTAAAGGTGACATTATGATTCTTAACCATCTGCAATTGCAGTTCAATGTTCTGAACCTTCAACACACCAATTCTACGCACACATGTCTTTATTTCACCCTCCATCTCCAACTCTTTCATCTGGACATGTTCTTCAAGTCTTCTGACCTTCTCAACAACAACATCTAAGTTTTCCACACAAGTACGACATGTATCCTCTTCAACCCACTCAAAAAAAAATTGCATTGTTGGTTGCCCCCTCGAGAATAACGGCCACAACCATGAAACCTTTTCCCCCGATTCTTCTCTGTTGTCGCCGTCCAAATAGGAGCTTGGACTCCACAGTCGCACTTCTTGATTTGTTGTCTTCCATCCATTGCACAGGAGCTGGAATTTGAAGAACTCATCTCTTCAAATTTGTATTTGTGTTTGTGGAAGAGGGCCGGGGATGGATTTTGTATCCTTATACGGTCCAAATATTTTAACACGGTATAGACTAGGGATAAAAGGCCATGTAATCACACATGGTGTTTATACATTGGGATTAAAAGCCACGTAAGCAAAAAAAATAAGTGCCACGTCGCGTATTACTAATGGCCCAGTCACTTAGACCCCTCGGGTGGTAACGGTAGGAAAGCACAAGCTTTGGTTTGTTGCAAAGTTCATCACAGACCCCTGATTGCAAACGGCCACAACCACAGGTATGTAAAGTGTACTTTTCGCTACTTAATTCTCATAGATTAACTTTAACTTTGCAGTTGGAATTAAACACCATTATTTATTAGCAAGTTTGAACTATACCCACAAAAATTCCGCTTAAGCCATTGCTGATGCTAACGGTAGAATTTGCATACTAACAAAATAAAACTACATTCCACAAGGAAATAGTAAAAAAGTTAGCTTCGACAGGAATTATGGTAAAAAGGAATTAAACTAGTTAATATACCCCGTATATATATTTTAGTGCTGACATTAACTATAGTAAACGAAAACGTTGTAGTTAGAAATTTAAAAAGAAAAATACTACACATAAACGGCTTGAATTGCGTAACAGGCCATGCATATATCAATATATATCAATTATCAAGTACTAGTACATGATATTGTTTATGGGGGTACAATAGATGGGAAAGATTGGTGAAATTACTACGCACGTTAACCCAATCCTTCTCTACGAGCTTTCCATGCTCGTAGTACTTTTCTATTCCGATGGAAGATAAAAAGGAAAGCTAGGTCTTTACTTTTTTATTCTGTCATATACTACTATATGGTTATAATAGTACATGCATATACTACCTCCGTTCTTAAATAAATGCAACATTTTGACTTTTACACTATTCACATATTCTACTTTGACTACGTTTTATTTATTAATGTAATAATATTATTTTATGAAAAAAATATTGTTAAACTTATCTCATTGTAAATTTTCATAATCTAATTTTTTAAAATTTTTTACTAGTTCAAAATCATTTATATTAATGGTCAAAGTTGTGTCTCGGCAAGTGTGAAATGTTGACCGTTGCATTTATTTAAGAACGGAGGAAGTATGTTACATGCTACTACGTATTTCGTAAAGTAAAATTGCATATATCTAAATGCAACTTGTTGTCTTATGCTATATGTATTATTTATATACTCATTGAAAAGGGTGTTTAACCCAAATTAGTATTGTATTTAACGTTCACCCCCAAAAAAAACGAAACATTCTTCCTCCCGTTTTCTTCTGAGATTCTACCAACCGGCGCAAACAGGACATAACCTGAAAATGGCCAATATAGGATGAGGAGTTATAAGCATTTTTATTAAGAGATTAATAATTTAAAGCAGGTATAAGAATTTGAGTCTAGAATAGTACTCCGTATAAATTTACTAATAGTATATGTTAAGACCCGGGGTTCCATCCTAAAAGGTCAACCTAATAGGAGGAGTAGCCCAAAGCCTTATATAGTGTGTAATTGTTTTTATAGCTTTCCGGTGTGGGACAAATGCTTCAACACGCCCCCTCAGCCCGAACCGGGCTGGACAATATTGGGGTGTATAAACGGGCCAAACAAACCCTTAATAAGCTACCCTTAATCATGGGTGCTAAACAAGCCGTCAAACCACAACCGGAATTGGCTCTGATACCATGTTAAGACCCGGGGGTTCCATCCTCAACCTGTTAGGAGGAGTAACCCGAAGCTTAATATAGCACTCTAGTGCTTCTCAATTTTCCGGTGTGGGACATTTAACAGTATAAAACCATTATCATAACGTAACGTACCTCAGATGGATCTTGTAAGGAATAATGAGCAAGCGTGTCTTTGGGATGTTTTGACACGACAATGCCGAAACCTTGGCCTGATTCTCTTAGCACCTAATTGATTTAACCACCGATTAAATGAATAAATACAGATACAATTAAGAACGACGCAAATATATATTTGTCATCATCGTCGTCCACTCGTCCTCCTAGCTCCTCCTCATCATCATCATCATTGCGCTAGTAGGAAATTATGTATTTGCAGCGGTTTTGGAAGTATCAACTTTTATCGAATGTGTCGGTTTTAAGGGTAACAACGTAACCGCCACAATTATATTATGAATTTTCCATAAATAATACTCCCTCCGTCTCAATTTGTTTTGGAAAATCTACATTTTTTGGTCAACCAGTAATAAAAGTCAACCCTCCTTATGAATAATTAATTCATTTTTAATAATTAAAATTTATATATTCAAAAACTGCATTAAAATCTCTTCAAAGTTGTAAACTCCAAATTAGAAAATAATTAAAAATTGACATCCTAATTAAGTGAACAAAACGAGACTATTTGACTAAGAAAAGTCAAATTTGCAACTCATTTTGGGACGGAGGTAGTACGTAGTATGCATTAAACAGTTTTTTCATAACCGTCACATATATTTTATTAAAATTTACATTTTTAAAAAATTAGATTAAAATCTATTCAAAGTTGCAAACTTCAAATTAGATATGATTAAAAATTGACATCATATTTAAGTAGATAAAATGAAACTGTTTGATCAATAAAAGTCAAATTTGCAAATCAATTTAGAATGAAGATATAGTACTAAATAAGAGTGGACGGTACTGTATGTTAGATAAAAAATGTAGGAACTGTTTTTAATTACACCGTATTAATGAGAATATATAGTAGGGGAGGAGTGGAAAAGTGGACTTGGTAGAAAGCACGAACCCTGAAAGCATCTTCATCAGTTCTATCATCCCCAATATAGATGGGACATACACGAGTAGAGTGAGCGTAACCTGCATGCATGCATATAATTAGCTAGCTAGTCACATGCAATAAGTCCGCAATTAATATACTTTCTCCATTCTTTTTCAATTACGACGATTCGTTTTTCACGTTTGCCAACACACATCTTTGATCGTAAATATATCTTATTCTCTATTGGAAAAAAATTAAAAATCGGGTTTTGAAAATTTTTAATGAGATGAATTATACTCCCTCCGTTCTTTAATATTAGTCCTCTTAGGCTTTGGCACGGGTTTTAAGAGGAAAATAATAGGGGTAGTGTAAAAGGTGTAATGAGTAGTGGGTAAATGAAAAAATAGGAAAGAGAAATGAGTAATGGTAATAAAAGTGGGGGTATAAAGATATATTGTTTCTAAAAAATTTCCTTAAATGGAAAGGATGACAAATAAAAAAACAGCCCAAAATGAAACGGATGACTAATAATAAAGAACGGAGGGAGTATTGAACAGTATTTAAAAAAAATCATAAAATAATAGTGTAAAATGTAATCAAAGTAGAGCATGTGAATAGTATAAAATTCAACATGTTGCGATTCAAAAAAAAATGGAGGATATATAGTACTTCTGCTTCATATTACTGATGAATAAAAAGTATCATCAGATCAGATGGCCTGGCCTGAGAACAGACCTAAGGATTTAAGCAAGAAGGTGAGGGCTTGGCCTTTGTCCCAATCAATGACGGGCCGAATCTCCATCACTTTCCTACCGCTGCTTAGTCGAAGGCCCGAGTGTCCTTTCATCACCTCTCTAACTATTTCGATTAACTCCTTCCAATACTGCGTCCGCCCCACCCCCCATACATACATGAAACTATTAAAATTTAAAAAGTAATATCGAGCATTAAATATAATTGTTTCCAACATTATACTTATTTAATCTCACTAAAAGAATAAATTAAACTTAATTCAGAATGCAAGATAATATACAAAAATTGTTCACCATGAAATCAAAATATAGACAACGTTTAAAAAACAAGACTGAGTATATTTCACTTCCCTAATTAAATAGGAGTGATAAATGATGGTAATTCTAATTACTCATTTTGTGTTTGTTTTGATCCAATTCTCTCATGTGAGTATTTGAGGAACTTATTATATTTAGTGAGTTCCTCGTCAATTAATTGGTACATGCGGCTGCCCTTTGTGCCCAACTCTCATCAACTGGTTGCCTGATGCTTAAGGATGTTTTTATTTGGACTTAAATTTGTTGGTCTGGTCTGGTCTGTTTATGTCTGGTCTGATCTCTGTGTATTTTATAACTATGAAAATATGGTTTTGTCTGATCTAGTATAAGTCTGTTCTGGTCTGATCTGAGATTGAAAACAAGTAAAAACATCCTAATTAATTACACACATATAAATGTATACGCACGTAGCTTAATTACCTTATCTTCCACACATCTAAAATGGACGGTGACGCAAAATTTGTTATCCTCCACATTAGCACAAGGAATGCGACTAGTTTTCTCCACCAATGTCTTGTAAACCTGTTGTATCACGGGAATAAAGTTGGCCGCCGGCTGGTGTTGAATATTATTTGTGCCACCACCCTGCAAATACATATAGATATGTATTCCACACTTCCACATGAGACATTGATCTAAAATTAAAAGTTACTCTCCGTGTCCCTATTCCCTAAAAATACTCCCAACTTTCCTTTTATGGCGTCTCAAAATAAACTTTCACTTTCCTCTTTTGGTAAAAAATTTGTGATTCACGACAATTCTTACACATTTCCCTCTCCTCTGCACAACTCTCCACCACACAATACTCACTATCTTAATTCCCGTGCCATTTGTACTATGGAACAAAATTTAGGGACGTAGGGAGTACAATTTTTAGGACTCTTTGATTTGAGGTACTTCCATGTTGATTTTTTTTATAACATTTTGTAAGCATGTAAGTTATCCATGAAGTGTACATTACGTCTACCAAATTATGTTAACTTTTATATTTGTATCTTTATTAGTTTCTATATTTTTTATTTCTTTCATTTTTACCCTCAGTAAGTATTTAATTAAAAATTGGGAAACTCAATATTACATTTACTTATATTAAGGGGGTCCCTACTTCGGTCCGCCTCTGCCCGTATGCCGGTTTTATGTATTAAATTGTTGTATATTTCTTTTATTATTAATTGCAATAATTTGACTTTAATTTTGCATGTCTAAAGAGTTAATATATATATACTTATAAAATTTACATTCAAATGAATGGATTTTATCTGGTGGAGAGAAAATGCTCGTTACTCACTTTCTTGAATTGGGGGCCTCTCGATGGTCCTATAATGTCCATACCATGACTTCCTGCATAGTACAATTCTGGCAACTGAACAAAGCCATACACCTGCGCCCAATAGACATTTACAAATGGATTGAAGTAAATGGCGTTAAGTGCTAATCGAGCGTCGACCCTATTAAAAATATGATTAGTAATATTGTGTTTACCTGCGTATAAAACAAACACACACATTTACATATATGAATGTTAGAGTCACATTTAATAATAATATCCAGTATTATACATATGTTCACCTAACTTTATTATGTACTAAATATTATTAAATAATAATTAATAACACTTAAAATTACATATATATATATGTATATACACGTGGATAGCTAGCTTTTATCTTAATCTACAACTAGATATAGTACTTAATAATTAATAGCATACCTTGTTTATACTCCTCCCACTTACTATGGCTGTAGGGAAATGTGAGGCAAGACTTTTCACCGTTGCTCTCATCTGGCTCATTCAGGTTAAAAAAGGAAAGAATATAAGCTGCACAATCAATATTAATCATCCACAAATAAAATCCCAGTAAAAGGAAAATGTGATCTGTAAATTAATTAGGTTTTCAATAATTAAGAAAAAAAGAATTAAAATGTTACAAATAAATGAAGTAGTTGTTGTATAGAAAAATTTACTTCGTATAAAGAATGTACTAACCGCGGCGGACATGTGAGCGGAATCGGGGTCGGCGACAATGGGCGAGAGGGTTCCGTCATAGTCAAGAAACATCACGATTTGCTTACCTCGGGAATCCCTTATTATCTGGTCAAACATGTCTAGAGCTGATGGGTGCCGTCTCTGTCCGCCGCACCTCATATTAATCGTATAAGTAAGCATGCATGCAGCTATATACATATGTACTCGTATATAAAGTAACACTACAAGAAAACAATGACTAGGGGTGGACAAAAACACAGAAAAATCGGTATACCGCACTTACCGTACCGAAAAATACCGGAAAATACCGAAATATTGGTATACCGTTATTTTCGGTACGGTATCATACCGTACCGATCTATTTCGGTACGGTAACGGACTAACGGTAAATGTTTTCAAATACCGCGGTATACCGGTATAATACCGTACCGACTCCCTACTCAACAATTACTTTTAATTCTAATACTTCGTATATTGTAAAAATCCATTACAATTTTGAAGCCCAAAATTAATACTCCGTACTTAAATTGTTTACAAATACAAAAATAAAGGCCCAATTTCTCAAACTCACTATAACCTTATAGGTTTCTACTACACTCACCTTAATGACTAATGACTAATGTACAAATGTCAAGCAACAAGTCCATCTTGTTCCAAGAGTTTGCAAGTTGTGATGGCTGGGCCGCTAAGCAGCTTACGAGTGAAGAGAGATACACTTATGTAACAAGTGTATCTACATAGGGATTCTGTGAGTCGAGACACACAACTTTGTCCAAAAGTCTTATTCAATTTTTAAAAAATTATAAAAATGACTAAATACACAATATCACATTAGGAATAAATGATTTTATATCCATGTCGTTTGAATAGTTTTACTTATTTTTGTTAGAGATCACTATTGATTAAATTATCTATATTGTTCAAGTTATTTTAGGAGAATGTGTTACTTTTTAATATGTGACATGTTGAACTGCTTAAATATACCAATAATAATTATTGTTCAATATTGAATTCACATCAATAGATTATTAATTGTATTTCGTAACATTTTAATAATAGATTTAATATGTCACTAGTAATAACGATTTAGGATATTTCGTTAGTCTATGCTAATTTTTTGTATTGGAAGACATGCACGGTAATTTACTGATACCTTACCGTTACTGAACTGAAACTTCGGTATACCGAAATGTGGTATACCGAAACTTTGGTAAGGTAAAGGTATGCAAATTTTGCATACCGAAAGTTTTGGTACGGCAAAGGTATGATAAAAAATACTTCGTATAAGGTATACCGTAGTGAACCACCCCTAATATTGACACGTACTTAATATTGTTTGACTGAATTTGGTACGGATCATAACATATTTTGGCACGGGACTGTGTCAAATAGTTGGTGACAAAATGAATTAAATTGGCTCGTAATTTGACACGGATTGAACGTATTCGTGCCAAATACCCTATAAATTTTGACTAATTGGTTCCGGAGATCCGTGCCAAGTCTGAGCCAAGTCCGTGTCAAGTCCGTGCCATAATCATTGTTTTTGTAATGAAAATCCGGAGTTTCATACTTTCATTCTAGAATGTGAATCTGATATGAAGAGTATAGAGTGTTTTGTTGTTGAATGATTTTTTTAGTGTGACACAAACACTTTAACAAGTAATTACACATGTACGTACCATCCAGCCGGCGCGTTCATCGGATGAAACGGTTGCGGCTGTCATGCGAGGATGAGTAGGAGACGAAGCTCTCAACGTCGCAAGTAAAGAGTTCAACTCGGACTCGTCATCATCAGCGGATCTGTATTCGACGCTCATCTCCAATGAAGAAGGAGAAGAATAAGAAGAGCCGATGATGGCGGCGGCCGGGTTCGGAGCCGTCATCCTCCCAAACCAATACCTGATCGCGGACGACTCATCTCCATTTCCGCCTTCCACCGCCGAAGTAAAGTAGTCCTCCTCCTCGTCGGTGCTCACGTAGCCGCCGGGAATGCGCCGCCGGGAACTTGCTCCTTCAACATTAGTGTTCTTTCTTGCCATCGATCACCTGCAAAATTTGATTGAAGTGGAAGCTAGCTAGTGATGGTCTAATGATCGGTTGATGGATGAGAAAGAGAGGAGGTTTTTGGGGCACGTTTTATAGATGGATAAATATAACTGACGGGCCCACCCTTTCAAACTGCCGCGTTTGACCGGCCGACCCCGCACAACATCCTGATTCCCGGCCCCCTGCGGGAGAGATCAGGAGGTTCGACGCTATCGCAGGTTCCCCACCCATCAAATTCTTGTCCGATGATACTTCATCTTCAATGTGCTTATATACCCGACAAAGTATTATTGACACTCCTGACCATGTTCTTTTTTTTTCAAAAAGAACTACTCTCGTTGTTCCAATTGCGGATTACGAAGGTTGACCAACGATAAAGTTATATGATCCCTGTGAAAACTCGAATTATTTTTAGTAAATAAAATTTATATATTCAGTAACTACATTAAATCCGCTACAAAGTCTGTAAATAATAATTCAAATTTTATAAAATTTTGATATAAAAAATAAGAGTTTAAGAGTGATTTAAGTTGACATTCGATAAGCGAAATAGAACTTCTTTTAGGGACAAAGGGAGTATAAAAGATTGAAAAAATGATTTCAAACCATTATTCATAAAATGATTGAAAAAATAAATGTTGTGATTGGAATTTGAGAATAATACTGTGAAATGTTGTAAATCACGTATTATTTAGCATATACGTAACATTTTATTTTTTTATTTTCTTTTTCTTTTTCTTCCTTAATTCCTTTTCTATTTGTCGCCTTCCCCTATCAAATTATTGTTTTGACATTTTCTTTTGGCCTTTTCTCATGAATATTAATAAATTAAATTCAAAAGACAAAAATATGACTTATCTTAAATGTTTTTAGAAAAATGACATATTTAGTGACTAGTTTTGTGTGACTCATCATCTACCAGTGATTTGTCACTTAGTAATACAAAAGGCATGGACAAAAATATAACTTAATAACTTTTAGTGACTATAAATGTGTTCAAACTTCACATCATAGTAACTACACCATAGTAACTTTCAATATAATTATAGTCACTTAAAGTGACCAAGTAACATTTTTGTCCATCACTTTTTCAGGAGTAATATTTGAGGAATTTTTTCTGACTCTATTTCAGTAAAGAAAATTCTATAAATAAAAAATTTCAGTCTTAAAATTCATATAGACAATAATAAGTGTTCATATATCGAAATTCATAATTATTTATCTTTCATATTCCATCAATATTGAATATCATCATCATCACCATTGCCTCAGTGTCGCAAAGGCTCCCACTAATGATGGGGTAAGGGAGGGGTCGGATATATGCAGTCCTACCCCTATATTAATTAAAACACAAAAATATTGTTTCTGAATGACCCATGACGAAAATCGCGTTGAAAATTGCATTAATTGACTGTTGCTTTATACTATCTTACAACGAAGCGCAGACAGTTTAGTTTGCTATTTTTCTTTATTCATCATATATATTCTCAAGCCAAAACATATTGAATCTTTGGATCCATTGCAAATGACGGAAAACCCCAATATTGAATACATGAAAACAAAAAAAAATAGCACTTTAAAAACTTAAGCTTTCAAAGTGCTATAATATTTTGATTTGTACTACGACCGTTACAAAAAAAATATCAAAACTCATGGATTTTTCATTCATATTACACTAATATTGGATTGGATATATAAAAAAAAAAATTATTAGCGCTTTTAAAAACTTCTATAATTTGAAGTGTTACAAGTATTTTATTTGTACTATGATTATTACAAAAATATATACTCCGAATCAAACTCATAATTTTTTTTGATCGTTCATATGCATGTCACCAAGACACCAATATTAGATACATAGTATATAAAAACAAAAATGGATTGAGACCATAGCCCAAAAAATGAATCATAGGCGAAGCCCATTACACGAGATTAGTAATTCAAAGCCCCTTAATCGGGGGTAATTGATCAACAAAGCCAGCTAGGTCTAACAGGAGAACATGACCCGCGGAAGGAACCCACATCCAGGATGACCTGATCGACAGGCCTCGAGCCTAGGTGAGATTCTAGTGAGTTCAGACTCACCCTAGAGCTTACGTGGCAAGTCATCTTCAACGCATGGCTATCCGGCAGCACGGTAGGGATTTATCGGAAGATATGTGGACATATATAAAGGTATAATATGAGATACTATAGAAGAGTCTCATCGTGATAGACCTATTAAATGTACCGGTTATGTCTCGTTAGGGTACGTAGTGTACGTAGTTATGTCGATAAATACTTCATATTCTTACCCTAAAGGGGATCCACTCTCTGAACAATAATAGTGTCTTACGCAGTCAAAATACTTAATTCTCATAAATTGGCTTTTGCAGTTGGAATTAAGCTTGATCAATTATTTGCAAGTTTGAAACTTTGAACTACTCACAAAAATTTCTGCTTAAGCCGTTGCTTGATGCTACGGTAGAATTTACGTAATAACAAAATAAAACTACATTCCAAAATACGTAGTACTAATTTAATGTACTATAGTAACAGAAACGTTGTAGTTAGAAATTTAAAAAGAAAAACACTACACATAAACGGCTTGAATTGCGTAACAGGCCATGCATATCGATGTATATCAAGTACATGAACGTACAATATTGTTTTTGGGGGTACAATAGATGGGAAAGATTGGTGAAATTAGACTACGTTAACCCAATCCTTCTCGATCTAGGTTTTACTTTCTTATTCTGTCATAATAGTACATGCATGTATGTTGCATGCTACATTTCGTAAAGTAAAATTGCATATATCTAGATGCAACTTGTTGTCTTATGCTATATGTATTTATTTACACATTGAAAAGGGTGTTTAACCCAAATTAGTATTGTATTTAACATTCACCCCCGAAAAAAGCGTAACATATTCTTCCTCCCGTTTTCTTCTGAGATTCTACCAACCGGTGCAAAAAGGACATAACCTGAAAAGGGCCAGTGTAGGATGGGGAGTTATAAGCATTTTTATTAAGTGATTAATAATTTAAAGCAGGTATAGGAATTTGAGTCTAGAATAGTATAAATTTATCAATAGTATAAAACCATTATCATAACGTACCTCAGATGGTTCTTGTAAGGAATAAGGAGCAAGCGTGTCTCTGGGATGTTTTGACACAACAATGCCAAAACCTTGGCGTGATTCTCTTAGTACCTAATTGATTCAACCACCGATTAAATGAATATACAATAAAGGGCGGAGCCAAGACACGGGTCAATACAAAGAATATTTTTGGGAAAAAATTTACAAAGAATTTTTTACACTAAAAATATAAGTATTTTTTTAAATTTGGGGTGGGCCAGGACCTAGGATGGCCACCCTCTAGCTAGCTACTCCGATCCACTGTATACAATTAAGATCAGATGACGACGTAGATACATTTATTATTATTATTATCATTATCATTATTATTATAATAATTATTATTATTATTATTATTATTATGATTATTATCATTATTATAATTATCATCCTCATCATTCTCATCATCACCATTCTTCTTCTCATTATCATTACTATAGTCTTTGATCAATTTCGACACTTTTAAGAATTACTATCTTCATCCCGTTGAAAGGTTCTCATAACTAATTAGCACAGTTATTTAGACAATAATTAAATAGGCTAGTTCGATTATATTTTTATAAATAATTTTGATATTTGTATAATATAATTAATGGGGTTAGCATTGATAAATGTGATATTGTATTATTTTTAATATTTAATGATTAATTTTTCATTTATATATGATTGTTAATTATTTCCTAAAATGAAAATGAGAACCTTTTTATGGGACATCTAAAAATGGAAAATGGAAATCTTTCTATGGGACGGAGGGAGTACAATAGAATCGAAGGAGTAAATTTAAAATAAAATCCTAGTTTGACATAAATAAATAAATAAATAAATAAATAAATAAATAAATAAATAAATAAATAAATAAATAAATAAATAAATAAATAAATAAATAAATAAATAAATAAATAAATAAATAAATAAATAAATAAATAAATAAATAAATAAATAAATAAATAAATAAATAAATAAATAAATAAATAAATAAATAAATAAATAAATAAATAAATAAATAAATAAATAAATAAATAAATAAATAAATAAATAAATAATTAATTAATTAAATAAATAAATAATTAAATAATTAAATAAATAAATAAGTAAATAAATAAATAAATAAATAAATAAATAAATAAATAAATAAATAAATAAATAAATAAATAAATAAATAAATAAATAAATAAATAAATAAATAAATAAATAAATAAATAAATAAATAAATAAATAAATAAATAAATAAATAAATAAATAAATAAATAAATAAATAAATAAATAAATAAATAAATAAATAAATAAATAAATAAATAAATAAATAAATAAATAAATAAATAAATAAATAAATAAATAAATAAATAAATAAATAAATAAATAAATAAATAAATAAATAAATAAATAAATAAAAAAGATGAGTTATTTTATTGATTCGCTGAAATATTCGTTTTACATATGATCTGATAAGATTATTGTAGATCTAGTATATTATTTTTGAGGCGTGTGATAATGGTTATGTGAGAGTAGTATGTAAATTGGAAGATACTAGTACTTCGCAGTATTTATTTTTAGAAATAATGACAAAAATATAAGTTCCACCTTTTGAAAGAACATAAATAGGACCAAATTTCGTTTGGACTAAAAACAGATTTAAAAAGTATGGACCTGACTTAAATGCCCTTAAACCCTATGAGCCAATCAATCCTTCCCTCACCTACTCACTCAGATGAGTTCGAACTTCGAAGAATCGCTCTCCACTCTCCATAGCTCTGCACTCGTCCCTCACCCAATATAATACTTCCGTTCCATCGCCGATTGTTGTGGTCCATTTGTGCCGCCTCTGTCCAACCGCGCGCGCCTCGTTATCTAGTTGCACCTCCTGTGTCCACCTGTGCCGCCATCGTTATCCAGTTGCACCGCCGTTGTCGTCTAGGTTATTCTTCGTTATCTTATTCATC